GGTTCAATGTTTTAAAGAGATTAGCTTTTGTCTTTCCCCCCTTTACCTTCTCACTTTTCCCTAAAAGCAACCATTGAATCATTACTAATGGTCTCCTGTGTATCTACTTAGCTCTTTTCCTATGTACATGCAAATTTTAGTATCTACTTAAAATTGTATATATATATATTTTTTAAGATTTTATTTATTTGACACAGAGAGACAGGAAGAGCAGGAACACAAGCAGGGGGAGTGGGAGAGGGAGAAGCAGGCTTCCCGCCGAGCAGGGAGCCTGATGCAGGGCTCGATCCCAGGACCCCGGGACCATGACCTGAGGGGAAGGCAGACGCTTAACGTCTGAGCCACCCAGGTGCCCCTTAAAATTGTATATTAATTAAAATGTTTTAAATGTATATCACTTAAAATGTATGTATTATATGTAAAATACATTTTAGTATATTATGCATAATATATAGTCTACTATACATTCCCTGCTTATTTTATATAGCAATAAAAAAAATGCCAGTAGGGCCTTTTTATTTATTTATTTATTTATTTATTTATTTATTTATTTATTTATTATTATTTTTTAAAGATTTTATTTATTTATTTGACAGAGAGAGAGATAGCGAGAGCAGTAACACAAGCAGGGGGAATGGGAGAGGGAGAAGCAGGCTTCTTGCCGAGCAGGGAGCCCGATGTGGGGCTCGATCCCAGGACCCTGGGATCATGACCTGAGCTGAAGGCAGACGCTTAACGACTGAGCCACCCAGGCGCCCAAGGGCCTTTTTAAAGGCTGCAATATATTTCATTTGTCCATTGAAGGACTATTAGGTTTTCTCCCACCGTCTTGCTCTTAAAATGTAGTAAAAATGCAGTACATGAATGTGGGGAAAAGTACAAGAGGAGGGATTTCTGACTTCAAGTTTCATGAAACTTTTGATGGACAGTACCCTCTTAAAAGTTGTTTCTACTTTTCACACCCCTTTTTAAAATACCTTTGCAGATTGGGGGTATTATGAATTCCAAGTTATGATCAATACAATATTGGTATCTCATTTTTACCATTTTTATGTCCCTGGTCCTTGTGAGGTTGGGCATGTTTTCATATACATGTTAGACGTTTGGTTTTCTTCTGTGAGTTTCCTTTCTGTATTCTTTGCCCATTTCCTTCCCTATAGAGTTGATTTTCTGTCATTTATTTCAAGGAGCTCATCGTATATTAGGGATCTTAACAATTACATGTGTCACATGTTTGCTCCCAGGCACCTGTAAAGTCTCTCTCACTTTTGTGTACTGCCCATCCCCTCCGTTGTCTTCTTCCTTTCCATTTTCTCTTTTGCCTAGTCGATTTCCTGCCTTATTTGTGTCAGTACTAAACTAGAAGGGAATAAGGGACAAGGAATTAAATATTTGAATAGGGCCTTCATTTTAGCTAAAAAGGATATGGAACCTTCTCACTTAGTGTGTATGGAGGATTTTGTGGGTGCTTCCTGTCTATTCCAATTTTTCACAAAGTGACTTCCTTCAGAACCATTAATAATGACTAACTATATATCCCAGTGAAAACAGGGAACTCACTGACATACTGGCTGATCAAATGTAAAAAATACAGCTAGTCATTTGGATATTCTAGTGAACAAATATTTTGTCAATAAAATATATTTTCATTGACCAAATATTTGAAATATTTATATGATGCTCCAAACTAGAATTTTTTTTAAGCAAATGCTGTGCTACTTTACCTTTTTATACTATAAAGACAGAAAACCATAAAGAATCTTCATTAATTCACTTAGAAAGGACTCAGGCTGAAAGATAGGTCAAAGTAACACAATCTTGGGGAAAGATGGGCAGTTAGGAAATGTCATATTTTTCAGGAAGGCATTTGGATTGCTAGCTCTTGCAGAGATATAGAGGAGGGAGAAGCAAAGGCTTAATCATATTTTAAAAAACAATAAATTCCTTTGTCAATTCCCCCCAGTCCTCGCCAAATAAAAAAGTACCTTCCTCTTTCTCCTCTTATTTTTTCTGTGCCCAATCATTCACATTGTCCCTGAATGTTTCTTGTTTTGTTTGCTCTTAAGTAATCTGAGAATGAAGATTTTTATATTAGCTGAATATTGAGTTTTAAGGTCAGGTGTGGTAAATTCTATCATTTTAAACTTTTGTTTTACATCTTTATAGCCTCTTGTTCTTGGCAAGTTATAATTCAGGAAGGCAGAGAAATTGATATTAGTATGCAAAAGCAAAGTATTTGGCAGCCAAGATAATCAGCATTTATGCAAACTAAAAATGTTCAACATTTATGAAGATTTAAGAAATGTAGAAAATGTTATAGGGCTGTTTACAAATTAAGATTTATTGCCTGCATCTTGAATCCATAGGGTACGTTTTTATCTTTTTTTTTTTTAATCTAAGAAATTAGTGGCACACTTTAAGAGTTTACACTATAATAGGCAAATTAATCTTGTCGTATAGAATGAAAAAGGCTTACCATGTGTTGGAAATTTAAGAAATTGTTCCAATTGTATTCTGTCATAATAAACATCTACCCCTTCCCTCCCCCCATCTCTGCTTTTCCACACATGGGTCATCTGTTTCTGTTTTCTGGGCTAAGCTTACAATGAGAGCAAGCAAGATGGGGCTCCGTCTGTTCTCTCAGTAAAAGTACCAGTATCATTGGTGGTCATAAGGATTCTTCAGTGATCCTTAATATGCTTTTCTTTGACAATGATTATACTTCAATTTTTGGGGACAAGTGACTAATTAGTGTCATATAAAAAAAGATAATATGTCATTATGCTACAATCAGAGTTTGTCTTTCTAGTAAGTCCAATTCAGGTTCATTTCCCTTATTAAAAAAAGAAAAAAGTTTGCTTGGAAATGGCAAAAAGGAACAGAAACTATAGTGTGTCATGAACAAAATTCTGGAAAACTTAACTAATCTTGTTCTCTTAACATGTTTTTCAGGAATATAATGAGTGACTAATCAAATAATTGAACAATTAAAGTCCATTTATTATATGATGTTTTTATACAAAGAGGGTTTCATTTGAAGATAAATTTCTACTCTGGCACATGGAGAGAAGTTGAATAATCTTGGGTGACATCAAATTAAAGGTGATTAGTTGTAGTGGATGATGTGACCTTTGATGTAGACATTAATTCTGGATATATTATAGGTTTTGGTGTGGGGTCACTAGGAGGATGTGGTAGTGTATGTGTAAACCCTGCGTTTTAAATATAGGGTCTAGTATGCTTTCAATCTGTGGGTTTTCTAAGTATGCCCAGATGAGAGTTCTTAACTATAAGCATAATTTTGTTTACCATAAATGTGAAACAAAGCCAACCAGGGACACCTAGGGAAGAGAGGATCCTCAAGGACCTGTTTAGACAGTTGCTTCTAGAAAAAAAACAGTCTTCAGTCAAAGACTTGTCAATCCTATTTTTAAAGATTGATTAGGTAGCTGATTTTTTCCTCCTTCTGTCCTTGGAGAAAATGAAAAATAACAGGTCCTCTTCCACTTTAGACTAAACATTCATATACTTTATGACAGTTAGGTCTCCCTTGAGCTTTCTCTTCTTCAGGACAAATTATGCTCCTTGAATCTGTCCTCATAGGTCCTATTTTTCAACCATTAAATCATCTTATTGTTCTTCCCTGGATCTTTTCCAGTTTCTTCAAAATCCTCTAAAAAGTATAAAGTCTTAAATTATATATCTTTACATATATTAGATAGGTTAGGACTTCAGGATGATATTTATTTCCACCTTCTAAGTCAGAAAAGATGGTCACTATGACACAGGTCAGTTGGATGAGAGGAATAAGAATAAAGAGAGAAGGCAAGTGAGCAGTTGAATATTCAACTCACTGGATTCATATGATCAGAAATAGTAAAACTGTGTCTGCAAAAATGTCATGTGTTCTTCCTAAGTCCTTTGGAAGACACTAAAACACAAAAATTATTATAAAAACAACCAGAACTGCTTTTGTTTTTTCTTTAAACAGATACCTCTTTTTCCTATTTATAATTCTATAAAGAAAAAGATTAGCAGGTGAATTAACGTAATGGCAAGTTCAGGACAAAAAAAAGAGGTGGGTGATAGAGGAAGATGAGCACTTGCTAACTCAAGGAGGGGCACAGGTATTCAGCATTAGACTGACCTCAGCTTAATTAAGAGCTACAACCATTTTTCAAGCAGGTATTAATGACAGGAGGGGGCATTTGTGGATTGTTAGCTAGCATAGCATTATTTTTTTGGTAGTACATGACTAGTAGAAAGAACATGATACTAGCTTTGCTGATATGCTGTCCTGGGTCTGTGGCATTGGATTGTCTTCTCTGTGGCATCACCTTGATTTTGAGTGACCAGCATGATCAGCGTACTGTAGGCATTTCAACCTCTCTATTCCTTAGGGCCAAAAAAGAACCCATAATCTTATAAACTAAGCTCTCAGCTGTCTAATTACTATGAAAGTAAGATTCCAGTGTAATAAAAACCTAGAATAAAAGCCCTAAATCTTCTAGTCTTTCTTACTTCAACTTAAGTGCATTAATGATTGAATTCTGTATTTCTTTAATAATTTAACTTTAAATCTAAAGTTTTCTCTCAGCCCAAAGCAAAATACCTGGCACTTACCCTACTCTCTCTCCTGGGTTATGCACCATGAAATGGGGTGAACTGCTTCATAGCCTCCCCAAGAGAGAAATTAAGTCATTACAAAAAGGTGGTTCTGTGTTCTTTCCAATATCCTCCCTATAAATCAACAGTAAATAATAGGGATCACAACAAAGTCAGCTTATAAGAGATTTAATTCCCCAGATGGAAAGCTTCATGATGCACCCATTGCTGGTTTATTTTCATGTTAAGGTGGGATAAAAATATAAATTTGCCATGCCCATATTGAAGAACCCCAGGCAGATCTTAGAGGGCTCTTGCATCGAATGGTGGGCAGTGGTGAAATATTTGCAGTTCGCACTAACCCCTCTTGGAAAGCTAATGCAGTATGGTCTTACCATTTTTGCAGACAGGACAACATTGTTCTGGTTCATAGACTGGGTTGACACACTCAGGAACTGCGCAGTCTGCTACAACACAGTGAACTTCATTGCTGGGCTCACAGCGACACCATTCACATGGAGAGGGCTAGGAACAAATCTAAAATTAGCCCCTTTTCTCCTATAACTTAATGCTTTGCACATTCATATGCTGTCAGAAGATAAAACATCAGTGTTTATATTGGCTTTACTGTATTAACTCCATTTACCACGTGTATGATTCATTCTTCCCCAATGGAAAGCAACCTGGAAATCCAAGCCACAGTGGGTCGCCGTGTGCCACTCAGGTTGCCGTGAGCAATTGGAGCAAATTGGATGACTCTTCCTATGACTTATATTCCTACTTTCCGAAGAAATGTTTGGACAACTAGTATGTCACCTCCTGGTTTGGTTTCCAGAGGTACTGATTGCTCTGCCTTCCTCTGGTAAACAGGAATGATACTGGACCATGTGAAATAAGTTTTTGCCATTTGTCACTTTTTTTTCCCCCAAGAAAGACAAAGATTACTGAGAAAAAAGAAAATGGTAAATGGACATCCTTACCCTTTGTAGGAACTCTTTTCCAAGCTAACCTAGACTCTAAATGGCTTTTTTTCCAGTATGAATTTTAGAAGAGATTGCATTTGGGATCCAAACACCCAGGTACTGCCTCTTGAAAGATTTAGTGAATAACTTTCATCTTGCCTGCTTGCTGTTATGAATGAACTGAAATGATTGACTTAAAAAGCCACTACTTAAGAGTCAAAGACTCTAAAAATGGAATTGAAAAGTGATTAATTTAGAGGGGGGAAAAAGGGCAGAAAACAATTTTTGACTCAACAGTACTTACCAGCCATGAGTGAGTTTGAGATTTTCTGTTTCTTTTCTAGAAACTGCCTAATACCACAAATCATTTCAAGCAGTGACCACTCTGTGACTTTCTCAAGTTCTCAAGTTCTAGCTCTCCTTTCTCATGAAACAGAGGCTTGGAATTCTGGAATAAAAAGTTGGAGGTCTTGGAAGTTATACAGGTCTATATTTCTCAAATCATGCCATTTGTTCTGAGAAAATTCTGCCTCTTGTCCTGTGCCACGGGACTATATTTCCTCTCTTGCAAACTGTGTTAATTAAAGCTCTCTGCTTTTGTCTCAGTGGCTAATGTCCATGTCAGCTCTTATTTCTTCTTGAACCTGACTATTTGGATAATATCAATGCTTCTTGACTCAGGTAGTCCGTGGGGGTGAACATCTTTCAACAAATTATTTTCAAATTAATTTTACCTTTGCCTTCTGCTTAAAGAATGATAGTCTGGCTTTCAATTATTTTACTTTCAAATTTAGTGGGAATAAGAGAATTAGACATAGAATCTGTCAGAAAGTATTGCTATTTCTTAACATGGTCAATAAATTTATTGAAGGGTACAGTTAAGCTCTTTACTGTGTGGTAAAATGGGTTAAGTGTCTCAACGGAATCTGTTGGATCATCTTAAGGGCTGGGATTTTCCTGGAGCTACTCTACTGAATAATCTCAGTAAACTAAGGAAAAGATTTGATACTACAGCTCATTATTTGTTGGAGAAAATGTGAGAAATACTGTGAGAAAGGAAAATTCTTGCTGCTCTCCTGTTCCTTATTTTTCAAACCCCATTGTGTTATTAAATCTCCAAGCAAAATGATCCGAAGATGTCCCCCTTTCCTTGATTAATTGCAAAGAAGTATTTTTGCATGGCCTTCTGAAGTACAGCAAGGACTTGGCCTGCATTTATCGCTAATATGAGAGAAAGTAGGAACCACTAATCTCACTTCCACACCCTGCCCTCCCACAGCTGTGACTCTTTGTTCTTGCTGGTTCCTTTCTTGCTGAAGGAGGGGCTGATCTGTACAACTCTAGTGGACTGATTCTGGCATTAAAAATCCCCAAGAGCCCCTAAATTTTCCAATGCAAAATGTTTACCTCAAAGTAACTGTGGCCTTTGAGAAAGATTTATTGGACTATTAGAGTCCCAACTGATAAAGACACCATTCTGATTCAAACAATATTTTTTGACATGATTAACTACTGGATATCATGTCAAACAATTTACCTATATCAACTTATTTCTCATAATAATGCTATGAAGGAAGATTTGTTATTATCTCCATCCCACAGATGAGGACATAGGCTGAGAGAGGGTCAATAACTTCCCCACTCCTGCAGGTTAAGATAGAGGCAGGATTTGAACCCAGGCAGCAGACCTCCTATACCATACTGCCAGTGAGAGCAAGAATCACTATTCTGGGTACTCCCATTGGAATAGTTAATTTTCCAGTGCTTTCTACCCTTCTCCATGCACACCAGATCCAGAGGAATAGCCATTAGGAACTGAATAATTGATTTATGGAAGATATGTACCTCTGCTAAGAAAGAGAATTTCACTAGGATATTTAGTGCATAAAGAGATTATCATGGAACCATAGAGCTTTTTAACCTTCTGCAAATGTAAATTAGTAAGAAAAGTATAGTAGGTTGAAGTTACGTCGCCACGAGGCTCACGTTCTTGGGAGCGTTGGCATCTTTAGCCTGGTAACTATACTCATGGGTATCTGGGAGAAGCACAAACAGATAATGGTCCAGTAAGGACCCAGGGGCATCTGTGGGAAGCCAGTGGAGACTGGATGTGTGTGCACTGGAATTCTGAGAAGTGTTCTGAGGAAGAGCTAGGACTACAAGCCTTGGTGATAAAAGTACACCTGATCTTTGAAGGGATCTTGCATAATGAGAAACATAAACTCGGGAAGTAAGAATGTCACCCTAGCCGCTGAGTGACATTGTCTTTGAGTCCTCCTCTGACCATGACTTTATTCATATGCCACACCCTTCCTGGCCCAGAATCTCTTGTCAGAAACGTGTCATTTCCTCTTTTGTTTTCCTTAAGTTGTTTTGTTTTGTTTTCAAACCTGTTTCAGTCCGTTTCTTCTTATTCTCAATCTCCATGTGTGCTCCACCCCCATTCTGAACACTCAATCAGATTTAACCCATTGACCTCATTCCAAAGGCCCTTCTTTCCTCTCCAACCTTATCAGGACTTTGCCTTCACGAGTTCATCAGTTCAGACGCCAGTGATTTTTTTGCCCACCTTGACTTCCTCTACTGTCCCTGCTTTCTCCTACTCTTCTGCTTCTCCCTCTCCCACTCCCCCTGCTGTGTTCCCTCTCTCTCTGTGTCTCTGTCCAATAAGTAAACAAAATCTCCTACACTTCTGAAAAGACATTGCCTAAGCAGCAAGAAGTCCCTGGGAGTGAGCAGTATGCTCCCTTGACATTAAGTTCAGTTTAAAAATCCTTCCCACCGAGGGGCGCCTGGGTGGCTCAGTTGGTTAAGCGACTGCCTTCGGCTCAGGTCATGATCCTGGAGTCCTGGGATCGAGTCCCACATGGGGCTCCCTGCTCGGCAGGGAGTCTGCTTCTCCCTCTGACCCTCCTCCCTCTCATGCTCTCTGTCTCTCATTCTCTCTCTCTCAAATAAATAAATTAAAACAAAAACAAAAACAAAAACTATGAACAGAGTTGGAATTTCTTTAAGAATTTTAATACTACTGAAGCAAATAGAAAACCGGATGCATAAGGCACCTGGGTGGCTCAGTCGATTAAGTGTCTGCCTTTGGCTCAGGTCATGATCCCAGAGTCCTGGGATCGAGCCCCACATTGGGCTCCCTGCTCAGCGGGGAGTTTGCTTCTCCCTCCGTCCCTCCACCCTGCTCATGATCCCTCTCTCTTTCAGGCTCTCTCTCTCACATAAGTACATAAAATCTTAAAAAAAAACCCGGATGTGTAGATTTTTTTTTAAGTAACAACCTCAGTTTGTCAGCAAATGTGTATGATGTTATCATTTGAGTAATAAGTTAAATAATAGGTGTTCTGGCTTTGTCTGAGAAGTTGGTATTTTGATAATACATTCTGGAATATTATTTCTTGGGTGTTAACCACTTTATGTTTCTTGAAAATAAACATTTTTATCCAGGTGATTGTAAAGAGTCCACATAGCTTTGCTCATGTAAATATAATAAACTCAGATTCAGAAATAAGATATGTGAATTTAAAAATTATTTATTGACTCTATTAAATTTGTATTATATATAAGATAAGGTATATAAAGTATACCAAGATGAACTATATATCTAGCCTGCCCTTAACAAATGCCAATCTAGAAGAGGAGCTAAGATATCTATAGAAATAAATTTTGATTTTGTAAAACAAATGATTTTTTATAAAAATAACTGATGGTATTATTATAATGGAGGACAGAATTATTGGAGTTAATCTATTTTTATTTGTATTTATTCTAAGCCTAATGTATAACACAAGGATATTGCAAAGCAGTTGAAATACCCAATCTAAAATTATTAATTATCAAGTACAAAAAAAGTTCACTCAGTCTTGAAATTTACCATTATAATTGCAACACAACAGTGAGATCATATTGATTTTTTTTCTTTAAAAATATTTTTTCCTAGGGGTGCCTGGGTGGCAGTTAGTTAAGCATCCCACTCTTGGTTTTGGCTCAGGTTGTGATCTCAGGGTTGTAGGATTAAGCTCTGCTTCAGGCTCCATGCTCAGCACGGAGTCTGCTTAAGTTTCTCTCTCCCTCTGCCCTTCCCCCTCCTCAAATAAATCTTTAAAAAATATTTTTTCCTAAAAAAACTGTTTAAAAATATTTTTCAAGAGCAGGCACCTCTACAATTATATGCTGTCTATTCTAATAAAGTGATGTTATATAGAACCAATTTTTTCCTGAATATTTTCAAGGAATTTCATGACAATAAAATGCAGCTTTTTCTGAAATATGAAGAATAGCATATGGAAAAATAAACTATAGATAAGGAGAATGTAAGCAAAAATATCTTTCTTTAGTTGCAGTCACAGATGTATTTTTTTTTTTAAATAGGCAAAACATACTTATTAAGGAAATACCAGCATGGATTTAAGAAAAAAAGAAAGGATGCTTTAGTGGTCTCTACGGTCTTCAAAGGAGAACCCAAAGGTATAGATGAAGGCTAGAGGATTCACAATGAAGTAAAGATTTTGATAAAGTGTCACACCTATTGTTGCATGAATAGCTTAGGAAAGCAGC